CTACTCTTGTTTCTTCCTTTCCTTTCTTTGCGTTTCTCCCTTCCTCAAGATATGAATTTTCACACGCGTACCCGCCTTTCCGCCGTAAAAGACTGTGGACGAGTAAAAGCTGGTAAAGGCTGCTTCTATGTTGTACTAAATACGAACGTGCGCGAGCTAGAGGACACGCCTCTGCGAGGCATGGCGCAGACTCGAATCTCACGCTCTGCAGAACGGCCGAGTAACGACGAGCTCAGGGGAGCTTGTCGGAACGTCGGAAGTGGTTGGAAGCAGTCGGAAGCCAACGGAAACCCGCAGGGGCCTTTAACTCCGGGGAAAATACTCGATACGCGCAAGTCAAGTCATTCGCGGTGGCGGCACTGGCGGCAGCGGTTTAATACGTCATCGTAAAGCGCGAGATCGTGGATGATATTCGTAACGAAAAAAAAACTTATAGTTCTGAATGATCGATCGTAAAAGATCTTTCTTTACAAAATCACAACAATAAAACGATGATGGATGATCTATTCAGGAATGTACCAACCGGATGTGTCTCGCGACAATTCGAACAACATCGAGCGGAAGATGACATAAAGATGGCAGCTTTCCGATATTAGACTTCCTTCACAGAATCTGGCCATAACAAGGAATAAAAGATATCTGACATTTCTTTTCAAAATTGTACGAGTGAGAAAAAATATGTTGTATTTCGCTCTGCAGTGATGTGAAACGGAGAAGGTATATTCAAAGATATGTGCTATCTCGCTTTAACTACGAAACGAATTTGATGAAAAATATCGGACCAATCATAGGTTGCTATCTGATGACCAGACTGATTAGAGAGTCTCTAGTCATTACAGTACATGATTTAAAAAAAAGCGTTCTTTATTATAGAGAAAATTATCCCGGTAATATTAATCGACAATAAAATCAATTTATTGCCTATACGTTTTGTCCTTATATAATAAATCTCCGTTTTTAGCTTCAATAAATTGAAAATAGGAAGCGATATATGTTGAATATATACGTATCACAGTTGAGTATCATATTTCAGTCAAGAAATGCAACGGTAATATAAAATAAATTTGTCAGAACAAAACCGCAGGCACTAGTGCGCTTCTTGAAGGCAAAAGTAGCTAATAAAAAGCGCTCTAGATAACATAATTATTGTACTCCGCATGCGTATTTCGCTTTTTAACAGTAAACTTGTGTATCGTTTAATCAATGTCGTAAGGCACTCTATCTCGTCATCGCCACGGCTTCCGTACGGCTCCCGTGCTCGTGCTTCTCCTGATACCTCGATCTGTAATTCAAAAGTATATTCAAGTACATCCATTACGGAAAAGCAAGTGTATGACGAAGGCGGATATAAAAAGCTTACACAATGCATTTGGTGACATAAGTCTGTCTCTGATATCCGAAGTCCACGTTTGACATCTGGACCTAACTAGATTCCTTTTAACGGTCAACGGTTGCTGGTACTTGGCCATTCTAAACAATAAGGAAGATGTAATCTTAATAATAACAAGTGCAATATTGATCGATATGTGGATAACACAAAGCAAAAAAGTAAAGACTTTATTCAGACAAAGCAGATCTTGGTTTCTTTAATAATATTTTTGTACTCATAATCTTAATAGTTAAACAATACAAAGCAGACGGAATTCTACAATATGTAACTATAAGAAAAGGAATATTCGTGTAAAATTTGTTTTAAATTTTTCACTGCTCGTGACATTTTAAACATTTTAATTGTTAACTATCTTTTGACTTATTTTACCAACTTCTTTTTTCCTTTTTTTTTTACATATATAGTTAAAAACATTTTGTATCTATTATAACCGATTCTTGTTAAAATTTTTTATTTTTTAATATATCTGAATGTTAATTTAACGTATAATGTAATTGCGTTATTTGAATATTTTAGATTAAATTGATATTCAACATCTCTAATGGCTTCTGCACATTGGACGCGGAAACGCTTGCCGCATAGGAAAATGCGACGCGGTAACCAATAATGTTAGGGGCTGTAAGCTTATTAGCTATCGCGTCACATTTTGCCGCCCAGTAAACGTTTCCGCACCCAGTGTGCAGGAGATATTAGTATTAAAATAACATAAAAAAAAATTTGTGAGTAAATGGATAAATAATATAAAACTTTTGGGTATTTTAAAACGTAAAAAATTTCAATACTAGAAAAATGCCTATTACGGTCGAAGCTGGATCTTCATTGCTCTAAAATAATTCAATCTTGAATTACTATTTAATATACACTATATATGTACTTGCATATATACCATATTGTAGTCTTTTTAGAACTACGCGCTGAATTGTTTTTCCGGACTATAAACGCAATTAAAACTACTCTAGTAAAAAATTTCTAAAATAAATGAATAAAATGTTAGGGCTCCTGAGTAATCACTCCAGTCATATTGAATCGTAACGTCATAAGCGAGAAATGTGTCATAAGCGACATGTTAATTTTTCTTGTAAGCCATTTGTAAATAAAGAGAATTTAGATGAAATGAAATGAGATCGCTTTAAAACACTTGTAAAAGTGTACGAAAACTATCCTTAAAAACTATCCTGAAAATGGACTACACATGCGTATTGAGTAAAAACTAGTAAACGCACTTTACGTGTCTTTTTCGATTCTTTACTGGCTATCAGGGAAGATAAGGAGACTCTTTGTCCATTTTTACAAGTGTTTTAAAGCGATCTCATCATGGTATGCAAGAAAAATCAATGTGTCATTTCTCACTTATGACGTCACGATTCAATATGGCTGAAGTGACTACTCAGGACTATCTTTATTTTATATATTATAAATGTTAATTTTACTGAAAAAATATGAGTCCACAATTTACTTACAAATTGCGTTAAATTGTATTAATTTTTTATACATATTTGTGTTACTTCTTAACAACATATTCATTTTATGTTAAATTAACATATAGATTTATGGCGAATTCGATTGGGCGCACTAGTGCGCACTATATTGGCCGTTTGTGCCAATCTAAAACAAAAAATGTGTTAAATTTAATACAAATTTTCTTATTGCGTACTTATTTAACAGAATTTTTGTGTCGTCACTTTTAGGCTGTCGTGGTAGTCCAGAGATCAGTCAACCGACTGTAAATAGTATTAATTCAAATTATAAGATCGATCATGTCATGTACTCTGGAGAGCGTGAAGCTATTCTTAAATATATATAATGCTGAAGATAGCTCAAAATTGAGTCCAAACATATGTATCTTAAATAAATTTTATTCATTAATTTATTTTACGCACCGAGATCCGCGTCTGACTCATCAGTCCTTCTATTGAATTTTTTCTTTTTTTTTTGCAGAAAATGAAACTACGTTATTACGTGGATTCGAATTCCTTTAGGTTCTTTCTGGCTAAAGTCTTCTGAGTGGCGAACGAGTACGATCGAGCCGAAGTCGGGCGTTCCGTTCGAGACTCCTTAATTTCGCGATCATGCGCGATTATTTTCATTCTCTTCGTCGGAGACTGGGTGAATAATTCCACTATATTCATGGAAGCTGCATCGCACTTGAAAACATTAAATCATTAAATTATTGCATGCTCTTAATTAAAAGTCTGTAAATACAAGCAACGAAATAACTCAGATAGACAGTTAAGTACAGTATAAATGTTACATTAATTACGCTGTTACTAATAAAATATGTAGTATATTGCCGCAATTCTTACAGCATCGAATATGCTGGGAACATTCATGTCGTATAAAATACATCTACCTGTGTAAGCAGGATATTACCGCATTTTTTTACAGCATTAGAATAATTCATGTGTATGTTAGAAACATTCATATCATATGAAGACATATCTTTGAATATTTATGCAATTATTTTCGATGTTCAAATTTCATCACTATGCAGACAATATGCAAAATTTATCTACCTGGAAATTTTATAAGCAAAAAAAACGAGTAATTACTTGCAACTGAAGACGATGAAGGAATTCCACTTCTGCCAAGTTTAAAGGCGCGTCAACATGTAACTTAAGCATACATTGCAATGCCTCTTTGTATATCTTTTTCAATGTAATAACGCGTTCGGTACGCATTAATCTGCGTACTAAGTAACCACGTGTGTAAGCGTTGATAGTATCCACTGCCTGTATCTATACAGTAATATAATTTTAGTATTTTTGTTTAACGGAAATGTTATGATCATAATGTTAAAATTGCAATTTGTACTCACATGTTTATCGAAATACACCATGGTGTCTAGCACTGGTACATGCGTAGTATTACTATCTAAGGGAAATAATTGTCGACTCACATTGGAATTCTTACATACAAGATCGCGCGACTCGCAATGGCTGTTATCGTCATTACCGTTATTATTGTTGTTGTTGTTGTTGTTATTATTATTATTGTTATTATTATTATTATTATTATTATGCGTAGTATCATATAAACTCACTTTTCTCGTAAAGTCAAAATCGAGAGTCGCCAAAGAATTGTCCGCAATAAAGGATTGATATTTAAGCAGGTGTAAATTTTTCGAAGAAATGTAATCCAACGGACATACAATCATTCGATTCGCTGACGGTAATTTGATATTATAATGCATTTCGGCGTGTATGTTACTGGAAGAGTCTGTGTCCATTTGTTGCCTTGCCTCGTGACTAGTTGGTTTTGCTTCATCGCTCAACAACGATCGATTCAACGCAACGTTCAACGCATTTGTTTGATGTAAGATTCCGGAGGCACACTTTCGTATTTCTGCTAACAAAAGTATTTGTTGCTTCTGAAATTCCTCTTGTAGTAGCGATTGTTCTTTTCGCTGACGATATATTAGCTCCATCATCTGCTTCTTGTGCATTTCTTCGATCTCTTTATAAACCATCAAGAGTTTATCTGGTGTGGAAGACTTTGTTTTAATGGCTGAATCATGATATTCTGCAGTATTCTCCTTTTTATTATGCAATTCCTCATCTATA